GGAAGTCGGTCTCCACTTGTGTTATAGAAACCCCGCCTCTACTGTGGGCACAGCCATCTTGTGTTACAGAAACCACCCTCCACTGTGGGCGCTGCCATCTTTTGCGATGGTGTGATGGTCAATTTGCATATTCCTTCTTTATTAGATAGGATAATACAGGTGGTGCTTATTTTTCCTATATTTCAGGAATGAGTTATGGGACTTAAATCTTTTGTCCAAAGCAGATTATCATTGTTTGAAACTTTTGACCATGGAAAAGTAATTAAAAGAGTATACAACAATATAGAGACTATTCCCCTACCCAATGCCAGATTCCACCATTATCTGTTGCTGGTCAATCACTTTTCATCCAGGCCCTTACCTACTGAACCCTCCCTCATATTATTTTTTTTCTTTTAAATTCCTAGTACTCAGAAGACAGTCTTTCTTTCTTTCTTTCTTTTTTATTTTTTTAAATATATTTTATTGATTTTTTTACAGAGAGGAAGGGACAGAGAGTCAGAAAGACTTGATGGCTCCTAACTGCTAACCTGCCTGTCTGCCTGATTGCCCCTAACTGCTTCTTCCTGCCAGCCTGATCACCCCTTAACCGCTCCCCTGCCAGCCTGATTATCATTGTTTGAAACTTTTGACCATGGAAAAGTAATTAAATCACCCCCACTGCCCTCCCCTGCTGGCCCGATTGCCCCCATTGATGAGAGAGAAACATCGACCAGCTGCCTCTTGCACACCCCCTACTGGGGATATGCCCACAACCAAGGTACATGCCCTTGACCGGAATCAAACCCGGGACCCTTCAGTCCCCAAGCCGACGCTCTATCCATTGAGCCAAACCAGTCTCGGCCTCCCTCATATTATTTTAAGGAAAATCCCAGCCACCCTGCTGTTTCATCTGTAAATATTTAGTATATATCTGGAAAGGTAAACTATTGAAAATAAGCATGATGGTTCAGTGATAACACCTAACAGATTAGCAATACATGTTAATATTATCAAAAATCCTCCAATCATATTACCTCATTGCCGGTCCAGCTGGTTTGTTCAAATCAGGTCTCAGATATCATCCACCCATTGTCATTGGTTGAGGAGCCACTTGAATTTCTTTTCATCTATAGGCAGAGTCAGATGTGCAACCAGTGTCTTCACACAGGGCCCGCTCAGGAGCACCCATGCTTGAGGTTTAATGCTCTGCAGTCGCTGTCTTGAAGGTCTTAATAACTGTACCTTTGAATTTGTGTTTTGTAGGTGAAGCTCAGTGGGATGATAGAGCACATAGTTGGGACTTGGAGCCTCAGCTCCCAGCTGGGCCCACTTGTAGAGACAGGTCCTAAAGAGTCAGTGCTCCACAGTCCACTGATGCCACCTCCGCCTCTCCCTGCCCTCTCTCTGAAGCTGGCAGCACCACCCTGCCTCCCACCCCCAGCTTGATCCACCCCACCCCACCCCCATCCTGGATCCAGGTACATAACACATCCCAGGGCATTGCTGGCTCGCTGCAGGCTGGGCCAGGAGGACTGTGAAGGGATGGCTGACCCTACTTCTCCACCCCTCCTAGCAAGTGAAAAAAGATACCTACCCTGAAAGGTCAAGAGATTGCAAAATAAAGGTAAAATATTGTAGTACCTTTAACAGCATCTTTTTCCTGCTCTTGGTAAAAAAAAAAAAAAAAAAAAAAAAGGACCCTGGAGGTCATGGAAATTACATTGGGTCCTGAAAATTAGTTATGCAGCTAGTCCTGTCCATAGGTACTTCCTCTCTCAACCTCTCTCTCCTTCCCTCCCTCTCTCTCTCCATTTACATGCCGTTAATGAAATTCTGTTACCTTGTAGATGCCTATTGCACTCCTGTGGAGTCATTTCACATGTCTCTCTGTCCCCTATCCTATATAATAAAACCCTGATATGCAAATAGACCGAATGGTGCACTGACCACAGGGGGTAAGGTGGCGGCAGATGCTCAATGCAGGAGCTCTCCCTGATGGTCAGAAGCCAGGTTCGTGGTTGGTGAGGACAGTGGTGGCGGGAGCCTCTCCTGCCTGCCTCCACAAGGAGTCCTGGACAGTGAGAGCCCCAGACTACGAGAGACCTGGATTGCAAGAGGACGCAGGCCTGGCTGAGGCACGCACCCCTTCCCACCCCAGTGCACGAATCCTGTGCACTGGGCCTCTAGTATTTCATATAAATGCTGGTTAGATATGAAGGCTTCATTAGATGTATAGTTTTTAAAATAATGCTTTATACTTTTTAATTTTAAGAATGCTTCATTATTTTATTTTTTTACTTTTATTTCTTTTTGTTGTTGTTCTTAAAGTCTCTGTTCAGCTTTTGGCTGACATATGAAATTACAGACAATAAATATAGTCCTCTTCCCCAGGTATGAAGCTAAACCAGCTTCTTCTAGGGCCTGGCTACAATGTTCATAAAGACAAACTGCCTTGCCCTAGCTGGTTTGGCTCAGTGGATAGAGCGCCGGCCTGCGGACTGAAGGGTCCCAGGTTCAATTCCAGTCAAGGGCATGTACTTTGGTTGTGGGTGCATCCCCTGTAGGGAATGCAGGAGGCAGCTGATCGATGTTTCTCTCTCATCAATGTTTCTGACTCTCTGTCCCTCTCCCTTCCTCTCTGTGAGAAATCAATAATACACACACACACACACACACACACACACACACACATATATATATATACATATATATATAGGGAAGCCCCCGCCTACACCTGAGGAGAGAGAGTAAATGGGAGAAAACACGAAAACCCTCAGAATGCACTTCCTGGTTCCTAGGGGTGGTAAACAGAGACGCGTTGCCCAGAGCCCTCTTCACACGAGGGCTTGCTGCCCATCAGGCATGGTGGCCAGCAGCAGCCTCCTGCGGCATGGGGTCTGGCTCAGCTGCTGAGAACCACTCCCTTAGGTCATGACTCGGGCCACACACCTCTGGTGACTTAGCGCCCTGGGTGCACAGAGGTCAATGGCTTGGCCCAAAGTTATTGACAGGCAGCAACTGTCCCAGAGCTCCTGGCAGGCTGACTGGGGTTTTGTTATGCCAGCAAAGTATTTACCTTCTGCCTAATACTGTTTTCTTCCCCTTTCACAGGACTGGTCCCTAATAAATATCTTGTACCCTAAATTCAATCTCAGTAAATGCTTCCAGAGTAGCCAGCCTGTGACACAAGGTGATGTTACCCCACATGTTCTACTCTCTATTATTATACTATAGGGACATGACTCCAAAACACCCTTCTGATCTTGTTTAACTTCCCACTACAGTACGGTTCCACCTTAATGCCGTGTGGCATCTTAAACTGAGTCTTGCCACAACTGACCCTTTTCTCCACAAGCATGCCTCTTCCTCATCTCTGCCTTAAGACAAGTGGTACTGCTATTCACTAAGTCCCCATTTTCATTCACTGTCTCATCTCCTGTATTATCCATTGCTCTGTTAACAAATTATCCCCAAAACATAGTGGTTTAAAAACAATAAACACGTATGGCCTGACAGGTTCTAGGGGTTCGAAATTGGAGAGTTGTTTGGGTGGGAACTGGCACAGCAAGGAACACGTTCTGGCCCAGAGCCTCCGCAGGGAGCACAGAGACCTGGATTTCAGTCCAGTGATACTGATTTCTGACCTCTGACCTCCAGAATTGAAAGAAAACACATTTCCAATCTTTTTAGCTACCCATTTTGTAGTAATTTGTAATAGCAACCACAGGAACTTAAAAAAGCAGGTGAAGTATGTGCAAAGGCGAAGAAGCAGTGGAGAGAAGGTATATAAAGCTGAGAAGAGCACCAACATTGGGGCAGAATTACTCCATAAATAAATAAAGAGAATGAAATACAGCTGCGCCTTTTGCCTATAAAAGAGAATGTAACGATCAAGTCAGGAAAAAAATTATGGAGGGTGTTGTAAACCTGAGCTTTGTGACACTAAGTAAAACGCTTCTGGGAAATATTTGGGTCATTTCTTTTTTTTTTTTATGTTTTTATTGATTTTATTATTTTTTAAATAAATCTTTATTGCTCAGTTTATTACAATTGTTTCTCCTTTTTCCCCTTTTTCCCAGCCGGTTCCCGCCCTACCCTCTTCCCTTCCCTCCCTTCCCTCACATTGTCCTCATCCATAGGTGTACGATTTTAATCCAGTCTCTTTCTGCAACCCCCACATCCCTTCCCCCCTGATAATTATCAATCCACTCCCTTTCTTTGCCCCTGATTCTATTATATTCGCCAGTTTATTCTGCTCCTCAGATTTTTAATTAAATTGATCTTCTTCCTCTTCTTAAATAATATCTTTCAGCCGAAACCGGTTTGGCTCAGTGGATAGGGTGTTGGCCTGGGAACTGAAAGGTCCCAGGTTCGATTCCGGTCAAGGGCATGTACTTTGGTTTCGAGCACATCCCCAGTAGGGGGTGTGCAAGAGGCATCTGATCGATGATTCTCTCTCATCAATGTTTCTAACTTTCTATCCCTCTCTCTTCTTCTCTGTAAAAAAACAATAAAATATATTAAAAAAATAATAATAATACCTTTCAGCATTTCATATAATACTGGTTTGGTGGTGAAGAACTCCTTTAACTTTTTCTTATCTGTGAAGCTCTTTATCTGCCCTTCAATTCTGAATGATAACTTTGGCTTTTATTGATTTTAGAGAGGGGGAGGAGAAACATTGATGTGAAACACCCATGCGCTGCCTCCTGCAGGCCACTCAGGGGGATCCAGCCAGAAACCCAGGCATGTGACACCTCCCCCAACGCTCGGGATGACGCTCCACCAAACCCAGCCACAGGGACCGAAGGAGAGAAAGACTCTGACACCCCAGGCAGGGCGGCCGTCCTCCAGCCCAGACGGCCCCGAAGGCCTGCCCCTCCGAGGGAAGACGGCCCCGCCGGCGCCGGGGCGTGACGTCATCACCGAGCGCCCCGGGTTATTTGCGCTCCTGACGTCCTTCCCATGATCCTCTCCTTCCTCTTCACCACCCTTCCTGCTCCCCGGCGGCCGCAGCCATGAAGTAAGCGACAGCCTTGATCCCAATCTTTCTCCATCGCGGGTAGACGGCCTCTCCGGCGGCCCGCGATGGCCTGCGTCGGCACCCTCCCTGATGCGCTTTCGTTTCCGTTGCAGGGTCGAGCTGTGCAGCTTCAGTGGCTACAAGATCTACCCCGGACACGGGAGGCGCTATGCCAGGACCGACGGGAAGGTGACGTGTGCTCCTCAGGGGGACTGGTTCGGGCGGGCGGCTCCTGTACCCCGTCCCTCTCGGCCCCCGGAAGGCTGGCTTCAGGGACCCTGTGTGCGGTGGTCGGGATCAGAACCCTAGTCTAAGCTAAGGTGACCAGGCGTCCCGCTTTTGGCGGGACAGTCCCGGTTTTTATCAATTTTAACAAATTAAAAATTTAACGTTTGGTCTGGTGTGAGTCAGGCGGGAAATTAGTAGTTTGTGTGCCTTGAGTGTCCCGGGGTGAGGAAAATTGGCCAGAAAGTCCGGCTGTTTTATGAGCCCCGGGCCGCCTGGCATCCCGGGCCGAACCCGACCCGAACCAGATGCCTCCCTGAAGGCGGCGCCCCGCCCTCCCGGCTGCGGCCTCGGCGTTGCCGGCTCCTGAATGACGGGACCCGAGGCGGGTATCCGCGGTGCCACCCGGTTAGGTACCTGCCAGTGGTGTGATGCTGGCCCTCTGTGGGTCTCGGCCTGGTAAAATAAGGGTATCGAACTATATAATGAGTTTGCTAAGGATTTCCAGCCCAGCCTTTCCCTCCTTCGCCTGGTTGAGGAGGTAACTTCTGTACTTGGACCTTATCGCCACAGGTTTTCCAGTTCCTTAATGCAAAATGCGAGTCGGCATTCCTTTCCAAGAGGAATCCTCGGCAGATAAACTGGACTGTGCTCTACAGAAGGAAGCACAAGAAGGGGCAGTCGGTAAGTGGGGTGCGCTGTGATGTGTGCAACCTCTGGAGTTAGTGGTTAAGCTCTGATCGTGGGTCGCTGCTCTGGGAAAATTGTAACTGAAAGAGACAGTGTGGGAAAGTATCAATCGTCAAACAGTGAAGTGAAAATGGTTAATGTGAAGTGTCTCCTTATATTTCTTACTAGTCTCACAGTAAATGCCAAGTTGAAATTTGAAGCATCCCTTTGCCAAAGTCAGGTAAATTACATTAAACATACTTGGGTATAGGGCACTTGGAAGAATTTAAGGTGTTACAGTTTGAAGTGCTCTTTTAGCGAGATGGAGATTTTTGAGACAAGGTTTGAGTGCTGTGACATTAGGCTTAGTATGCACTTGGCTTGGGATTTGACACATCCAGTGCGATGGCCATGTGCTGCTGAGGATGTGGAGAAATTGGAACCCTTGTGCATTGCTTAGTGTAAGATGGCACAGGCACTGTGGAAAACAGTTTGGTGGTTTCTCAGAATTTTAAACATTTTTATTTTATTTATTTAAAAAATATATTTATTGATTTAAGAGAGGAAGGGAGAAGGGTAGAGAAACATCAATGATGAGAGAGAATCATTGATTGTCTGCTTCCACTGGGAATTGAGCCCACAACTCGGGCACGCGCCCCTGACTGGAGTTGAACCTGGGACCTTTCAGTGAGCCAAACCGGCTAGGGCTAAACAATTATTATTGTGAGATCCAGTAATTCCATTTCTAACTATATACCCATGAGAACTATAAGCAGGAGTATATGCAGATAACTTGTACATTGCTGTTGGTAACACTGTTATTCCCAATAGCCAAAAGGAAATAACCCAAAGGTCCCCCCTCAGTGGATTTGTGAATAACAAAATGTTGTATATGCATACAGTGAGATATTATTCAGCCTTGAAAGCTTCCAGCTTCTATGATTCCACTTTTATGAGGTACATAAAGTAGGCAAATTCATAAAGACAAAGCAGAGGTTAGGGGGAGCTATTGTTTAATGGATGCAAAGTTTGTTTGGGGTGATGAAAAAATTCTGGCGATTAATAGTAGTGGTTGCACTTAATTGTGGGTATATTTAATGTCACTGAATTATACATTAAAAATGCTTTAAAATGGTCAGGTTGGTGTTAGATATATTTCACCACAATAAGAAAGATACTTTTAAAATTATTTGAGATGGAAAAATGTGTAAATAATCAAGTAGTGGAATTTTATATAAGATTTCACCACAGTAAAAAGTTTAAAGTAAAATGAGCATTTTAGTGTAACCACAAATGTTCCTGTTTTTTTCCATGTGTTATGTTTAACATTGTAAAGATATTTGCATATCCCTGCCTTAATAAACAGTTCTTTTAAAGTACTATTTAGTTAACTTTCTTAGAGTTTCACTTTTTGTAGTAAAAAATGGTCAGGATTTGTAATAGATGGTTTAAATAAAAGATCCAAGAGAGAGCTTCCCTACTACCCCCTTCCAACATATGGTGTATAGCTACAGCAGGAGAGAGTCATCACCTGAGAATGCTGGTATCCTGGCTTCCAGCCTCCAGAACTGTGAGAGATAAATTTCTGTTTGTAAGCTGTTCAGTCTAGTATTTTGTTACAGCAACCCAAGTGGACTAAGACAAATGCTAATCTTAAAAAACTTTATTTACCCTGCCTCAAAGGCTTTATTCATTTCTCACCCAAATTCATGGAGAATGATTCATAAGTGTCCTCCCGTCTTTTTGTTCTGTAGGAAGAAATTCAGAAGAAAAGAACCCGCCGTGCAGTCAAATTCCAGAGGGCCATCACTGGTGCATCTCTTGCCGATATAATGGCCAAGAGGAACCAGAAGCCTGAAGTTAGGAAAGCTCAGAGAGAGCAAGCTATCAGGTGAGGAAGCCTTCCTTATGCGCATTATTTAGGTTTAATAACCAGGAGTTTATAATACAGTCTAATCAAGTCAAGATGTTGGACCACAAGTTTGACATGCTTGGCTTTGAGTGATTTGTTGAAATTTCTACATGCAGTGAATGCTGCTGTACAATTTCTAGTATATGTTAAACTGACTTGGTGGATACTAATAACATTGACAGCCCCCTTGGCTTATCGTAAAAATAATTGGGGATAGGGAAAGAATATGATCAATTTACTTTTCCAAAACAATCTAGCTCCTTGTTAATAATCTGTATCCTTAAGTTATTTCTAACTCTACAGGGCTGCCAAGGAAGCAAAAAAGGCTAAGCAGGCATCTAAAAAGACAGCAATGGCTGCTGCTAAGGTAATTGTGGGATTGTCTTGGATTTCTTATTTAAAAGTGTGTGTGAGTGTGTGTGTGATTGATTTCAGAGAGAAAGTAAGAGAAACATCAGTGATGAAAATCATTGAATGGCTGCCTCCTACACCCTCTTCCCCCCAACCCCCCAACCCCCCAACCGGGATCAAGCCTGCAACCTGGGCATGGGAATCAAACCATGACCTCCTGGTTCATAGGTTGATGCTCAACCAGTAAGCCATACTGTCCAGGCAGAAAACTTAATTTTAGTCCAAATTGTGGTAAATAAAAAATTTCGGGTTTTTTTTTTTTTTTTTTAAAGAATTTAGTACAAAGCTATAATGGCAATGATGTTCATAACTGGTTTCTGGGTGTTTTGTTAAAGCTTATTTGAAATTTACAGAAAAATTGTCAACAATAGAGTTTACACAGCTTTTATCAGTGTTATCAATTTAGATGAGCATAATAAAAAAAACACTAATTAGTATTTGTCCTATATGACTAATGTCCTTTCTTTGTTAGGATACAATTCCATGTCCTTCACTAGGCATAAGAGTTGCAAAAGGGGGTTAAAAAAGAAACTTGCATGGAATAATACCACATTATCTTTTTCAGGCTCCCACAAAGGCAGCGCCTAAGCAAAAGATTGTGAAGCCGGTGAAGGTTTCTGCTCCCCGTGTTGGTGGAAAACGCTAAGTTGGCAGATGAAATTCTTAATAAAGACCTGACTATAACTAAATTGTGGTGGATTTTTTTACTCTGAAAATAGAGGCGTATTGTGCCTACATGGTAATAGCTGAACTATAAAGTTAAGACTTTAAGACCTAGGCATTTTCTCTGAAATAATACCTCCTAATGTAAGGTCTCTTAGTTGGAGACATGTTAAGCCAGATGACATACATAAAGTCTATATGGTTAAATATTAGCTTTGCTCAGCTGAGATGTAAGAGCACATTACATAGATAGCACTGTCTTAACCTTTTGGTCATGTGACTAAGCAGGAGAATGCTGTATAGAATTCAGGTTGACTATTAAAAAACACTTTTGCCGGGACTGGTTTGGCTCAGTGGATAGAGCGTCGGTCCCCGGTTCGATTCCGGTTGAGGGCATGTACCTTGGTTGCAGGCACATCCCCAGTGGGGGCTGTGCAAGAGGCAGCTGATCGATGATGATTCTCATTGATGTTTCTAACTCTATCCCTCTCTCTTCCTCTCTGAAAAATCAATAAAATATATTTTTTAAATGCACTTTTTTCTATTGTGTCTGTAGAAAGTAGACTTTTTTTTCTTAATATATTTTTTTATTAAATTATTATTTTTGTACATATACCAATGCCGAAAGTAGACCTTTTTTTATTTTTATTTTCCATAAGTGAAAACATTTGTTAATTGGCTTTGCCTTTTGTTCACTGGTATCTCACTTCTTTTACCCTTATAGCTGAGATCTAAGTGCTTAAAACTATCAGTTGTATTACTCTATTTTCCAAAACAAAGTTTAAGTGATGAGCATATCTTCAGTAGAATATACTTACAAATTCCCAACGCAATTTGTTGAGCCATAGTTAAAATTGCAGAAATGCCTGAGTAGTCTGCTGATGTTCAAGAGATAATATATAAGAAATGTGATGGAAAATAGTAATCAGTGATGATAAAAAGTTACAGAAAGTAGTAACAGATCATCTTACCTGTACCACATTGTGCCAAGTTTCAAGGATGGGGGCTTTCACAGCCCTCACTTCACTCCATCCTCTCGGTGGGAAACCAGGGTCCACCTTACAGAGGTGGAAACAGACTAGGCACTAAAGGCCAGGCTCCAGGGGACAGATCTCAAGCCCTGCTGCTGGTGTCCCGAGCCTGGAGCCTGTGAAAGGAGCACGGGCCGCTTGACGGAATGGCCCGGAAGCTTACCTGCTTGGGTGAAATGACCAGCCTTATTGGCTGCGTCCTTGATTACCCCCGCACCCGCCAGTCTGAGGACTGGGCAGAGCCTGCTTTAGTGTCCAGTCTGGACTTCCTGCAGGCCATTTTTATTTAATATATTGTTATTGATTTTCCACAGAGGGGAAGGAAGAGTGATAACTAAAAACGTCGATGAGAGAGACATGGAACAGCTGCTCCCTGCACAGCCCCCCACTGTTAAAGTGCATTTTTTTAAAAAGTCAGTCTTTATTCATATTATTACAAAGGTTCCTCATTCTTCCCCCCTCCACTAGGTTCCCACCCCACCTTCTGCCCTTTCCCCACCCCCCATTGTCCTCATCCATAGGTGCACAGTTTATGTTCAGTCTCTTCCCGCTTCCACAACTCCCCTTTTCCCCCTCGAGAGAGAATTGTCAGTCCACTCCCCTCCCGTATCTCTGATTCTATTATAATCAACAGTTAATATTGTTCATCAGGTTTTTTAATTTCCTTTTTTTTTTTTTTTTTTTTTAATAAAGTGCATTTTTTAATAGTCAACCTGAATTCTCTACAGGTTGTGCCCGCAACCAATTACATGCCCCTGACTGGAATCGAACCCGCAGACCAATACTCTTATCTACTGAGCCAAATCAGTTTTGGCTTTTTTTTTTTTAAAATGATTTTTTTACGAGAGGGAGAGGGATAGAGAATTAGAAACATAGATGAGGCCATCTGCTTTTACGGGGTGAGGTGACCTTTGTGGGGCAGCTCCCAGGCTTTGCATTAGGCCTCTGTACCTCTGTGCAGGAGGAGAGGGATTGGGACTGGGGGGCCAAGCTAAGTAGCCTGATTGCAGGTCCAGAGCTGAGCTCCCAATGGGGTGCCCCCTCGCTGCTCACTCAGCTTCCAGGTCAGCAGGCACAGGGGCCTGAATGCCAGTTGACACAACAAATGGTCCCTGCCTCAGGACCACGCCTGATGGCTTGAGGTAATTCAGTATCAGAATTAAACTAAGACCCAAAGTGATTTTACTTTGAGCCAAGGAAACTGGAACTTCTGACAACTCACCAAATGAGATGTAATACATGTGGCTTTGAAGCCACAGAATATCCCACAATCTGAGTCGTCATCCTTCTCACTCAGGCCCTAGAGGGAGCTTTGGCCTGTGGTTATGTGCCTTGTGGGTACACCTGCTGGTCCCTTAGCCTCTGGAGAGCGCAATGATGGGGTGCAGTGACTGCTATCTTGCCCATTTGGGGACCCTTTTGGTATCCCAACACAACTGGTGTTTAAAACTCATATACAATGAAGCTCACACCACCTCCACTCTAGAATATGACCCGAGGCCCTTCTCAACTACCCTCCTGTATAGTCCTGGGTGGGGTATGCTTGGGATGTCAGCCCTGCCCACTTTGGCATGTCACCTATAAGGCAGAATCTTCCAGGAGCCCTGGTACCTCATCAAAACCAGAGCACAAACGGTGGCCTGCTGCCTGCCCACACCACTGCTCTGCCTGTTGCAATGCCCCACCTCCTCCAGCCCAGAGGAGGGCAGCCAGGGGCGGGGTCTACTCCAGAACTAGTACCCAGCCACCACCGCTCCCGCCCTCGGGTGCCAGTTTCAGAGCAGCCTGGCTCTGTTCTGAGGCATGGCATCTTTTGCTCCCTCTGGACCGAATTTCCTAGAATAAAAAGACTCCCAAGTGACATGACACCAGGATATCAGGCTGAAATTGGTTGCAGGGCAAAGGTCTCCAGACCATGTGCCCACCAGCACCTGGGCACAGTGAGTCATCCAAGGGGCCATGCTGTGAATACCTCCAAGCACTGGTCAGGCCTCAGCACCCAGCCACCAACCACTGATGTTTTAGAATCTGCCTCTGACCAGCGGCAACCTCTGCCTTCACAGTGCCCCATGACCTGGAAGTTGGATTTTCACATAGCCATTGGCCTCAGATTTCTCAGACCTGCATCAAAATGCCCCCCCTTTTGGATTCAGGTTCTCATCCTGACTCCTGACCTTCTACCTGTTTTACCACTGGGACTGCTTCCCTCTTTGGCAGTTGGGGCACCACCTGGGAGCCAGGGCTGAGACCAAGGCTGCCAGAAAGTGAGGGGACGAGGTTTGCTGTTGCGGCTGCTATGAGGCCGCTTTCTCACTCCCTGCACTTTCTGGGCTTAGGTTCTTAGAGAACACCTTGGTGGTGATGTTCTCTAAGAGGACATCAGCAGGCTACTCAGGCATTCTGCAATACCAATGAGGACTGGTATGAGGTATTTCTCTTCCACCAGGTAGCAGACTCTTCCAGCCACCTCACTTGATGGCCACAGGCAGTTGGTTGATTGGGGGAACACTGAGGAGCACCCTGGAGTTTGACACCCCATGTGCCGTGAGTGGGGTTCTGCCTGCAGGTGAGCAGGGCTTGGCAGCTGTCCTTTGTTTCAGAGGGGGAGTGCCAGAACGGAAGGTCTGCCTGGGCCAGAGTTGCAAATGGCTCTCCTTGGGGGCCTGAGGTTTACCTTTGCTGAGTGAGGTGTCCCCTTTGAAAATCTAGGAATTGGATACTGAAGGTGGACCTGCATAAACGGCGGCTTTTGAGGGTAGGCTGGGGACTGCCCCTTGCGGAGTGTGCAGTCAGATGCAGGAGGCTGGGGTGGAGGGTGAGCAGGCAGGTGGGGCTGTCTGGACTCTGAATGTGGGTCATTTTTGCTATTTATGATCCGGGAGTCCAGGACAGAGACCCTGACTTTAGGGTCTGCAGATGGGTGGGGTTTATGGGCTTCTGGTCAGTGGTCTCAGACTACCCTTGGTAGAGTGGACAGCTTAGGTGGGGGCGGGTAGTGTCCCAGGCACTCTGTTGGAGGGTGCCCTGTCCGGAGACCAAAGCATTGATCTTGGAGTTTGGTTCCCTAAGTGAAGGGGCATTCGTGGGACTCTTGGTGCTTTTGGATGCTAGTTCTTTGCTCAGTGGGGTGTCCTAGGCGGAGAGTTTTGGTGGAGAACCTGTCGTGTGAAAGAACATGGATATCTAGTTGTGGGAAGGAGCTTGTCCATTCTCTACCTTAACGTGGAGCGGGGTGGCCCACATGCTAGATGCTTGCTGACCCCTGGGTGAGTATGGGACGCCCTGAAAACGCAGACTTCCTGGCCTTGGGTCCTTGCTGGCTCCTTCAAAGGCCACCAGCCTCCTCTTAACTTTTGGAACTAAACATTGGCCTCTTCCTCTTCTCTCCCTCCCACTCCCCTTCTTGATGGGGGACAGTGGCCAGACAGGTAATTCAGTCGTCATCCTTCTCACTCAGGCCCCAGAGGGAGAGGAGCCCTTCCCCCACCACATCCCCTTGCATCCCCCACACATCCCAGCTCCCAGCCGGGCCGGGAAAGCGCTGGATTCCGGCCCTTCGCTCACTGCCTGCGCTGGCGGCTCCTCCTGGGGTTCCCCGTCCGGCCGCTCCCCGGGGCAGGCGCAGCCGCGGGCGCTGGGTGGGCGGTAGGAGCGCAGCGGCCTCTGCGCCCGCAGAGCCGATGCGGGGCGGCGGGGGCGGGGGGCGAGCTGTCCAGCGGGGGCGCGGAAGAAGGGCCGGTGGGGAGGCCACTCTGCGGGGCTGCAGCCTCTGCGCAGCTGGGCGGGCGGGGCGGGGCGGGCGGTGGGTGCGCGGCTGGAGATGTACCGCCAGCGGCGCGAGCCGCCAGCTAACGCCCTAAGAGCACACCCACTGCTGCCCCCTCCCAGGGGTTGCGAAGTCCCCACGAGGCAGGAGGAAGTGGGGGGACCGTCCGAGATTTCCGAGCCCCCT